AGGGGCCAGCATGTGGTCACCAAGTGCACCAGTCCATCCACAGAGCTCAGCGTCACCTCTGGGGATGTGGAGCTGCTGACTGTCAAGACTAAGACGTCTCCAGGTGAGCACGCTGGCTGTCTCGCCCATGTTAGTTAAGACGATGTTTAGAGTGCCGGAGAGTCCTGTGTGCAGGCATGAGGGGGTTATGGTGAATGAGGCACACCGGGAACTCCAGTTTGGTGAGTGACTGAGAACGGGTGTCCCGTGTGTGGAGGGGACTAACAAAGTGTGAGGCCTGAGCGGCAGCTCGGCTAAGTGGGAGTGGTTCAAGGAAAAGAGCCTGAGAACAGCGCTCCAGCCAGAAACCAGGGGCATGGGAGCTGAGTGAGTGCCGACGCTCAGAGGCAACCCACAGCTGGAAAGAGGGCTGTGTCCACAGTGGGGTCCCTCCATTACTGTCCCGAGCGCACAGTGACGTGTTGCAGCAGCCTGTTGCTACCCACTGGATGCCAGCAGCACACTGCCCCCAGTGGTGACAACTAGACATTACCACAAACTGGAATCCTTAAAAGCAGTCCAGGGGATGGAGGCATGGCCCTGATAGAACACTTGCCTGTGTGCACATGGGCCTGGGTCCCATCCCCACAACTGCTAGAAAACCAAAACAGCCCAGGCAGGGGAAGTCCCCAGGGGTTAGCTGAGTAGGAGCTGTTGGCATCCCCAGGCCCGAAAGGGAGGGGCTCGAGAGATAGGGCCACCTGACCACAGGGGAGGCTGCCACACTGTAGGGAGGGCACAGGGATAGTTAATGCCCCGTGTCTATGTCCAGGCCGGTGGCAGGGGAGCCCAGCTGGTGCCTCCAAGGGTACTGAGTGGTTCAGGACACAGCCCATTGACCAGCATCCCACCCCACAGCTACAAGACAAACCCAAACAGGGACATCTCCTGAGTGTCCCCAGCAGGCCACCCTCCTCATTAAGCCACTTTGGCTCTCTTTCAGCAGGGAAGCTGGAAGCCAAGGCCACACTGAACCAAGCCCTGGAGATGAAGCGTCAGGGCAAGAGAGAGAAAGCCCACAAGCTCTTCCTGCACGCCCTCAAGATGGACCCTGGCTTCGTAGATGCGCTCAACGAGTTTGGCATCTTCTCAGAAGAGGAAAAGGACATCATTCAGGCAGATTACTTATACACCAGGGCACTGACCATTTCACCCTTCCATGAGAAAGCGCTGGTCAACCGGGATCGGACGTTGCCGCTTGTTGAGGAGATTGACCAGAGGTACTTTAGCATCATCGACAGCAAAGTGAAAAAGGTCATGTCTATACCCAAGGGGAGCTCAGCGCTGCGCAGGGTCATGGAGGAGACCTACTACCACCACATCTACCACACGGTGGCAATTGAGGGCAACACCCTCACCCTCTCAGAGATCAGGCACATCCTGGAGACCCGCTATGCTGTGCCGGGAAAGAGCTTGGAGGAGCAGAACGAGGTGATTGGCATGCATGCGGCCATGAAGTACATTAACACTACCCTGGTCTCCCGCATTGGGTCTGTCACCATCGATGACATGCTAGAGATCCATAGAAGGGTGCTGGGGTATGTGGATCCAGTGGAGGCGGGAAGGTTTCGGAGGACCCAGGTCCTGGTGGGACACCACATTCCGCCCCATCCCAGGGACGTGGAGAAGCAAATGCAGGAGTTCACACAGTGGCTTAATTCAGAGGACGCCATGAATCTGCACCCGGTTGAGTTCGCAGCCTTGGCCCATTACAAACTTGTGTACATCCACCCTTTCATCGATGGCAACGGGAGGACCTCCCGCCTGCTGATGAACCTGATCCTGATGCAGGCAGGGTACCCCCCTATCACCATACGCAAGGAGCAGAGGTCAGAGTACTACCATGTATTAGAAGTCGCCAACGAGGGTGACGTGCGGCCCTTCATCCGCTTCATTGCCAAGTGTACGGAGGTCACGTTGGACACACTGCTCCTTGCCACCACTGAGTACTCCGTGGCACTGCCGGAAGCCCAGCCCAACCATTCTGGGTTCAAGGACACACTCCCCGTGAGGCCCTAAACCAAGGCCCTAAACCACTAGCTAGCCCTCCCCCTTGGCGACAAGGGAAGCCAGGAGATGGCATCCAAAGAACAGCTTTCTAGAAACAGCTCTCCCCAGTAGCAAAAGGAGATATTTAAACATTCTTTACCTCCAGATGTTTTTTAGTTGGGAAAGAAAACTAAATTATCAAGCCTTGTCTTTAGGATAATTTATACTTCAGCCCAGCCCAGCTATTTATTTTTCTGAGCGACCTAGCCGTGCCAAGTGGTGCTGTGACCACTGCACCGTGGTGATCCCAGTACCCTGCAGAGGCAGCCATGCTCCCTCCTCTTACGTCCTGAGCCTGGGTTCTGGACAGAATTTGCACTAAGGTGGGGGCAGAGGGGCCAGATCTGTGGGACAAAGTCCAGGGCCACGGGGGCCACTCAGATGTCTTTGAGGTCCTGTGACTTCAGAGGGCTGCAGTCCTGAGCAAAAGCTGCCCTGTTGTGATGGACTTTCACTCCTGAGACAGGAAGCAGACGCTGCCATTTCCAGAGGGAGACCACAGATTCCCAGAGACCCCCCGGAGCCGCTAACTTGCTAGCCTGACTGGCAGGGATGTTCTTTTCCTATCTAGACCTTTCAGGAGAGCAGCCAGTGTGGCTTTTCCTTTCTTCTGAACTTCACTTGCATCAACTCAGACCAGATGTTTTAGACAAGCTTTTCAGCCCGCTCCGTCACCCCATAAAGCAAGTCTGCTTTTACTTCCCACTCAGTCTCCTGCACAAAGACCCCAGACAGTGGATCTGAGAGCCTGGAGGTGAGGCTCAGTGGTAGCACCTACCATGCCCCAGGCACCACCTCTAACAAAAAACAAAAACAAAAACAAAAAACACCTAGGATATCACACCAACCCCAAATAAGCGTTCCTGATAAAAGGAATTAAAACAAACACCTGTGATCACAGCCCAGACTGGTCCCTTTTGTCCTGTGTTTCTAAACCACCTTCCCCTATAAAAGGACCCTATTATGGGGTCTAACATCCCCTAGGATAGGTGGTTGCCTTGGAGTGGCCTTGCTTTTCTAGTAACTTGTAAAGCGATAGTGTTAATGCCTGATAAATGCATTTTAAAGCTGTCACCTTAGAAAAAAATAATTTTCCAATCATATATGGCTAAGTGCCAATTTGACTGCTGCTATTTAGTCAGAATGGCTAGAGATCACTGGGTCTTGTTCTGAGGGACAGCCTAGGAGTCCCACACTGCACTGCACTTTCTTTGTTTGAATGATGGTAAATTCATTCCAGGTGTCAAACCTCCAGTTAGGCGCTGCCAACTGATGTTTCAGATACTCAGTGGTAGTTCCGAGGGGCTGAGAAGAGTGGAAAGATGTGTGCATGCAGTTGAGCCTCACGACTGCTCGCCAGTGCACAGCAGTACAGCCCCAAATCCCAAGCTCCTTGCTCTTCTCTGCAGCATCCCGAGTCTCACAGGGTGCTTGCTTGGTCCTGTAGTGAGCACCTGCACTTTAGCTACGTGTGGAAGATATTTTAACAAATTACTGGTTCTAATAAAGTATTTTATTACATAAAATTGTGTTGCCTTATTCAGGGAGGGAGCACTGAGCTACCACTGTAGATTGTTCTGAGAACAGACCTCAGAGGGTGCCTGCCCTGAGCTAAACCAGATTAAAAATGATTTTTGTTGTCCTCTCTCTGATGTCCTCAGTGGGCTTTTCTGGCGTGTGGAAAGGCTTACCTGTGTCATGAACCCTGTGGCAAGCATGAAGTCAGATGGCTTCTGTGAGACCATCAGGAAAGCAGCACCCATGGTGGGATTAGCTCAGTCACTGTCTTCTCTGTACTCTCCCTCTGAACGGACCAGTCAGCTCCCTCACAGAGACCCAGCAGGAGCCAATGCCTCAGTGTGGCCCCTGCTATCCATAGCTATTGTCTAATTGAAGGGTAATGCCTAGAAAAAGGTCTTTGTATGTTATGTGATAAAGGTAGAGGAGAACCTGCATCTTAAAAGACATTTACAGGGCTGGGTGGTGGTGGCAGCGCATGCCTTTAATTCCAGCACTCAGGAGGCAGAGGCAGGCAGATCTGAGTTTGAGGCCAGCCTGAAAGAGCAAGTTCCAGGACAGCTAGGGCTGTTACACAGAGAAACCCTGTCTCAAAAAACAAAACAAACATTTGCAGGACGTGTACATTACCATTTACAGGTGGAAGCTGAACTTCGGCTAGGTCCTGACATTAGATGCTGACAGGTACCCTGGTGTCTGGAAAGGAGAGGTGACCAGGACCTAAGTGCTGAGAGCTCCAAGATGCACACAGTCGAGGCTACACTTAAAAAATGCTAAGGGGCTGGAGAGATGGCTCAGTGGCTGTGAACGAGAGCGCCTGTTGCTCTCGCAGGGGACCTTGGTTCTTTCTCTTCCCAGCACTCACATGGCAACCTACAACCATCTATAACTTCAGTTCCATGTGATCCCTCTGCTAAACAGAATGGGCACCAGGCCTACACATGGTGCATCATACACACATGCAGGGAAAACTGAAATCTTTTAAGGGCTTTTTTAAAAAAATGTTAAATTAGGGAAAAAAAAAAAACCTTTAGGGCTGGACAGATGGCTGACTGATGCCTCACACACACAACAGACACGGGAGCAATGTCCAGCACACACAGGCTCCCCAGTGTTTTCCTCCAAAGTGCTTCTACACAGTGAGTAGTTTCTTACTGTCTTCTCTGCCCCGCCAACGGCTTCAAAGCAGAGGACAGGAGCAATGTGAGAAGTCAAAATTCTCCCACCAGTGTCATGCTGCCACAAAGGCTGCTCACTGCTAAATCGTTTAGCCAAAGGGACAAGATCTGACTTGTACAAGCTGTTCTGTTAATACACTACTTAGGATGAAGGTGCATCTATGTGAAACACACCCACCATTAAGTGAACACACACACAGCAGCACTGTGCACAGCTTCGATAAGAGAACTTCACTTTAATAAACAAAGCTAAGTGGGGGAAGTCAACTATGCGCTCGACATAGCATTTAGACACAAGTGTCTGGACAGAGGACATAGGTCCCCCCCGTCACCAGGCAAAGAAAATGGCCCACAGCAGGTGGAACACACGCTCCTACATGAACAAATGTCACAGACATCCCGCTTCAGGGAACATGAAACAGCTGAGGTGTCAATTACAAATACATAATAAAAAAAAACAAAACAAAACAAAACACAGCCTCTTTGGACAAAAGCCCATTAAATAAATGTATTGTCTGCAATGTCCCCACCCGCACTTTACTAAAGAGGTCATCTGATGAGTGACAAGCATCTTCCATTTTATCTTTTAGGCTTAAAGAGCAATGGGTACTCGTGCTCTGCATGGCTGGGGGGCAAAGGGGAATTCGTAGAAAACGGGCCAGAGGTGGTGAAGTATCAGGACAAGTGGGCGTCAAAGCCGAGGCCCCCCCCTTGTTAGGACGCTGAAGTACCTTGGGAACAGCCTATAAAGCAGTTGGCTTCCGCCCTCAATATGAGGGAACACTCCTCGCCACCATGCTCAACGTAGGCTTTTCCTTCCTGTCTACATGAGAGGAGAATCTGTGGGAGACAGGTGTGCCCAGCCCCTCTGTCTCCAGGGCCCACGGTGGCCTCCTGGCCAGCATGAAGGAGTAAGTAAGGCATTTCCCATATATCAGAGTCCTCTTCACTTTCTCAGAAGCAACTTCGCAAAGTCAGCATTAGACATCTTAGGAGCTTCAGTGGCCAAAGAGGAGGTGACTGTCGGCCCCACCGCAGGGCCATTCTCAGCCTGAGGAGCAGCACTATGGCGCTGCAGAGCCCGAGGAAGAAGAGAAAGCTGGGTCCTTCCCTTTCCGCGCCTAGGAAGAGCAAACACAATGACCCTTTGGAAGCACAGATTCATAGCCCCAACTGGACTGTGAGACAGCTGGGATTATTGAACCAATGACTGATCAGGCTGAGCTCTAACCTCACACCAGGAAGAGAAAGCACGGGAATCACTAGACACCCTTCACCTGGATTCTAGTCAGAAGTGAGGAACACTTGAATAAGCAGCCTCCTCTAGGGCACTGACATGGAGCACCCTATGCTAAGTCACAGGTGACAAAGTGGTTGCCAGGAATTGAACTCAGGACCTTTGGAAGAGCAGGCAGTGCTCTTAACCACTGAACCATCTCTCCAGCCCCCCATTCTTAGCTTTTGACAAAATTTTGAGACAGGGCCTTAGCCTTCTGCAGAGCTGGGGTCACGGGCACCCAGCTGAGGTGAGGTGAGGCACTATATAAGCATGTTGCCTTTGTCACTGATCCATGCTCACGACAGAACTGGAGCCACACGCATAGCAGGCTGCAGTGGCGGCTGTCATCCCATAGAAACTGTGCTGCTGTGCTGGACAGAAGGAGCTGACAATGCCAGGCTCTTCGTGGTCTGAGAGATGGCTCAGCAGGTAAGAGCTGTTCTTCCGGGACTGGGGTTTGATTCCAGCACTTATGCAGTGGCTCACAAAAAAACTACAATTCCAGTTCTAATGCCTTCTTCTGGTCTCTACAGGTACTACACACACATGAAGACAGACATTCATGCAGGTAAAACACCCATACACATAAAAATAAGGAAATATATCAATATTAAAAATGAAAGAAAGCAGGCAGGCAAGCAGTATGAGGGGCTGGAGAGATGGCTCAGGGGTTAGGAGCATGTCTAACAGATGACCCAGGTTCAATTCCCAGCACCCATAAGGAAGTTCCTGGGGTCTGGTGCCCTCTTCTGGCCTCTGTGGGCATTGCACACATGTGGTGCATAGACATACAACCAGGTAAGATACTCATAACACATAAAATAAATGTAAATAACAAAACAAATTCTTAAAAAAGCAGGCCGATAAGACTTTTAGTTGATAGAGGGCCAGTTGAAATATTATCAATAGAATTTTAGTTTTAGGAAAAACTGGTTTGATTTCTAGCTTTATTACTATTAGGCATGTAAGCTTGGGCAAATCGCTTAATCGTCAGGTCTAGTTTCCTCACAGAATGAGGACACGGGACTAAACCATTTCCAGCTAGTCCTAGAGTACTATCTTTCTACACAGCTGAAAGATGCTGTTGCTGGGGGATACAACTAACACTTCTGAAGCTTTAAAGTCCATAATTGTTATCTTCAGAAAATATTATTTGACCTACAATATGTTTAACTCAATTTAATAAAATAACTTTATAACAAGAGAAAGGAAAAGAAAGAAAGCAGGCTGAGCAGGGTATGGAGAGGAAGCAGTAACTTTCTGTATTCCTCCACAGCCTCTGCCTCCAGGGCCCTGCCTTAGGTTCCCGACAATAGACTGACGGCAGGTGGGGAGCCAAATAAACCCTTTCTTTATCACAGCACTAGGAACCTAATACTTGCCTGACACTCAGAAGGCCCTGGATTCCATCCCCACTGCCACCAGGGCCGCTTCCCTTTATAGACTTGCTATGCACAAGTGACACTTGCTAGGCCTGTGACACCAAGGACCACTCAGAGCATCAGGTCCTGGTTTTCTGACCCAACTCCACGGCCTCCAGCTGTGACACCCTCACCCCCTTCAGCACTGGCCAGGACAGATCTGCACAAAACAGTAGCAGACACTTACGCTCCATACATCTGTCGGGGTACCATCGGGGCCCCCGGTGCTGTCCTCACTTCTGACTTCTCTGGAACTTTCCGTTGAGGGGGATTGCTGATTGCTACCTTAATGACATTCTCTTTGATGGTCATGCCATCCATCTTCATCACGGCCTGTGATGCCTGTGACTCGTTTTCATACTCCACATAGGCCAGGCCCTGAAGGATAAAATCCACAGCTGGATCAGATGTCAAGGACTTGGCTTCCTTCAGGACAGCAGCTGTGGTAAGCGGGCACCCATTAGCAGTGACCTCCCTAATGTCACCTAATGCTACAGATTTACCCCCAGTCTAACCATTTGCCCTGTGGCCATCACTGACTGGAAGGAAGCTTGAAAAGTCTCTCTGTGCTTACCCCAAAGAAGGAAACCATGTAAGCCCAGCAAGAGGTGAGCTAGACACAAACAAGACCCGACACGGTCACTATCCTTTGGCCTCTTCTGCCCACCATACTTTCTAAGTCTCCAATGTGGGTGGAGTCAGGGCTTCAAAGATGAACCCAAATGTGTCACCAAAAGGTCTAACAGGACAGAGGGGAGAAGAGGAGGGCAGGGAAGCCCATGCTGATCACTCCTCAGCAAGAAACTCAAAGTCTGCCTGTACCCCACTGACCTTTGGCTTGCCAGCCCTGTTGGTAACCAGCCTGAGGTCCTTCACAGTGCCATGAGCCTTACAAATGTCCTCGAGTTCCTCTTTGGTGCAGGAGAAGGGCAGGCCCGAGATAAAAAGCTTGTGTTTCTCTAGAGTGGTGCTGTATCTGAACACCTGGAGAGGCAAAGCTCATGGTTCAGGAAAGCACACCCCAGCATATGTGTCCGTCCCAGTCAGATGGCCCTGAGCCAAACCTGGTCTCAGAGACCTAAATAACAAAACCACCAGACACACCATCTCTGTAAAATGATCAGAAAAACAGCCATGCCCTGAGCACAGGTGGAGTTGCCCTTGAGCAACTGTGGGAAAGCAGTCATCTTTCCACACACTAAGCATATCCACCACCAAACCAAGAGGAGGCTCAGAGCAGTTGAGCCCAAAAGCCTGACACACGGGCTCCTTAACAAGCCTTGTACATGGTAGGAAGGGCTCAGGCACTGAGCACCATCCATCTGGCAGCCCCCCTTAAAGGAACCCTTTTCCCCAAAACATACCTTAAAATCAGGGTTTTTGCTCTTATCCACACAAGGGGAGACAAACATTGGCCTTCCTTCTACAGTCTTCCTGTCCAGGTCCAGAGCCTGCCGGGCTGACTTCTCTTCTTTAAACTCCACATAGCAATAGCCCCGGAAGTCCCCACGGTTGCTGAAGACCGGCCTGATCTGGACCACCTCCCCGCAGACCTCAAAGAGTGGCCTGAGCTTCACCTCTGGCTCATCCATGCTGTAGGGCAGGTTGCTGACAAAGACGGTGACACTGTCCTTACTGCTGTCATGAGCCACCTTGGGCATGTCGAGCTTGAGGGAAGCTGCCTTCTCCTTCTGCTTGGATGGAGGAGCAACGTCTATCGTTACACATTTCCCAGAGGAGTCCGCTTCTTCCTCCATGGCAGAGGCCACTCCAGAGGCCAGGCTATTCTCCACCCTTCTACGTTTGGAAGGCTGCTCTGCAGGCATTCAAGAGAGAAGCAGAGGCAGCTAACACATTCTGCATCAAGCACGTCCCAACACAAACAAACTGCACTGGGTACAACAGAGACGGCCACCAGGCCCCACAATGTGCAGGCCCAATTTACACTCCAGCAAAGGCACTAGCTATGTCAACTGGAAGCAAGAACATAAATCTCCACTGTCCAGTCATAACTGCACACAAAGTCAGGAGTCCCAGAGTTCCTCTCTTACAATTCCCACGTGACCCAGGGAGAACAGAATACTGGTACAAAGGATGTTTCTAACTCTTTCAAATGGCCAGAGCCTTCTGCATTCCCCCAGCAGACATGGGCTGGGCCTGGACAGCCTCTACCATTTCCTTAAGAAGCAACACAGAGCAACTATACAGAACACTGATTTTCAATTGGGACTTTACCACAGAGTCACTACTGAGAGAAATGTAGACGGTGAACAGGTGATTTAATGGCATGAATCCTGACTGTGTCAGGGCAGCACAGCTGCACATCAGTGTGCGCGCCCCGAGGAAATCAAGACCATTCCCGGACAGCTAAGACATGTTCTATGTACTGCATGTGCAGGCCTTGGCTAGGTTAGCGTTACCTTCCTCCTCCTCCTCCTCGCCCCACTCTCTCTCCTCCTCCTCATCCGCCTTGCGTTTGCCTGCACCATGAGTCTTTTTCTTCTTTTTCAGAGCTTTCTTCTCAGCCCGCACCTTCTTCCGCTGTTCAGCCCTTTCTTCTTCCTGCTGCACAAGAGCTGCTTCCTTCTCTGCAGCCTAGAAAAAAGGGCAGGTCATTCCTGGATGCCTTGTTAGGCTAGCTGGCTGGCTTGTGAGGAGACAAGACCTTAAAGAGGGTGGCAGGGGACCAACCTCTTCGTACAACACAAGATCATATGAACACGGTAAAGAGGAAACTCATAACTCATATACTTTCAATAGCTTCAATCATAACACAGCAAGGAAAAAACCCATTCCTGCTGCTGGGGCAGAGTGGCCTGACAAAAGCCACAGAGGGGAGAATGAGTTCACAGCTGCAGGCTGTTCACAGGTCTACTGTGGTGCTACATCCACGGCTGTCTCGCCAGTGTAGCAGAAATGCTGGCTGGATGGGCAAATATTGCCGGAAGGATCAGGATCCGCGCTTCTCGGAGTTGAGTCCTGGGCTGTCCCTTGGCAACCAGTTGTGGTGTAATGCTACCTGAGTTGCCATTTGTACTGACTCGACCTGACTGTACTTGGTGCTATATGTCTGTCTTTTCCCTTGTCTGTGTGTTCTTTGTGATCCTTGCATATTGCTAACAGATCAGACTATTCCAGGCAGTTGCGGATACAAACAAGACTGCTGAGGACATTTTTGAGTTTTGCACCCCTATTCATTAAAGCCTTTAAAGAAATAGCCAGTTCTGGAAATAGGGAAGTCATCGTTAAAATAATTCCTTAATGATGTGGAGCAAAAGGAGTTGCTCTTATCGGGAGAAACCTTAGAAGCCTTCTGTAGGAAAACAGCTGCAGCAACACTGGATGTTTGTCTGAGAAGTACGTGCAGGAGGCCTATGCAGCCTTCATTATGGCCAGAATAAACCTAGGCTAATTACAACATCTGACCCTGAGAGTCAGGGAGGGAAGAAAGTTGAGATTTATGGTATGAAACCAGATTCAGACAAGTTTGAGATCATGTCTAAAATTTCCTAGCAGAAAGTTTTCCCAAGAAGATAGTGGCCTTCTCCTCTCACACCCCAAGATATTCTGAGCACAAGGTCACTTAGCCCTGCCAGCCGCCTGGTACAGACTGGGCAAAAGTCCTTGTGCCCAAGTCAAAACATTTTCAAAGATTCTTTTTGTAAACTATTCTATGCTTTTTTTTACGATCTGATGATGTATGCCTTTGCCAAGTTCTTTGTTTGTAATAATATAAAAACCTCACACTGAATAAGTAAAACGCAGCAGCATTTTCAAAATACATTGAGAGTGGCTGTCTGTCAAATTCCTCCGCCGTATCCTGAAATCTTCCGTCCTTCGCCCTGATTCCCTCACGGTCTGAGTGGCTCCCCTGAGCCGGTCCGTAGCACTGTGGTATAGAGGTGGGGGCAGGATCATCAAGCAGCTAGTGCCACCACAGACAAGAAAAGGAATGCCCACATGCCATGCTCAGCTCGCTTCCTTCCTTTCATTTCAGAGCCCAGGCCATGAAATGATGCTACCCACAGTCAGGATGGGTTTTCCACCTCCAACTTAGAAAATCCCTAACAGGTCATAAGAAAGCCAGAAATGCTCATGTTCCACTCAGGCCTATCATGGCTCCTTAAAAAAAATTATTCTTCAAGAATTTCATCCATATATACAATGCATTTTAATCAAATCCTCACATAACCCTCCCCCGACTCTTCTCAGATGCTGGCCACTAAATCTCCCTCCACTTCATTCGCTCTTTCTTTCTGTTAAACCATTGAGTCTAACCAGTGGGGGAGTGTGGCAATCTATCCCAGGCTGTACCCTAGAAGGAAACTGAAGCTCCTTCTCCAGTAGCCATTAAGTGCCAACAGCTCCCAAGCACGAGGCCCCACAAGCCCAAGGCTACTCTATCGGATCTAGTACAGTCAATCCCTGTTAAGCTGGACGTTTTAAGTGAGCCTACAGACGGCAAGCGGTAAATGTAAATACTGACCCAGATGCTGTTTAGTCAGCATCTTAGGAAGGGCCAGGAGAGATGACGGCTCTATGGTTAAGAGCACCAGCTGCTCTTCCAGAGGGCCCAGGTTCAATTCCCAGCACCCATAAGGCTGCTCACAACAGACAGTCCAGAACCAGGGGATCTGACACCCTCTTCTGGCCACTATGGGGACTGCCCACAATCGGCGCACAGGCATTCATGCAAACAAATGGGGTGAGTGGTGCAGTCCCAAAGCCTCAGAAGCATCACTGTCACCTTCAGCCTCTGTTCATTCACGCGAGCCAAGCGAGTTTCGGTTTTCTGAATGGCCACATCCCAATCTTCCAAGGTTCCTGGACAGAAAGAAGAATAGAGCTTTTTGACCCCTCAATTCTGAGCTGTTCCCTGATGCCACTGCCCCAGAGCAGAGAGCTCCTGTCACAAGAACTGCAGTCACTCTTGCTTTACGACAATGCAAGTCACCAGGCTGCCACTCTGTAATTCCAATAATCCTCTGAGTTGCTATGGATCCCTCCTCCTTCCAAAGAGAGACTTAAAAACAAAAAGCCAACTTTTACAGGCTCTCAATGGTAAAGACTATAAAACATTTCAAAGCAGAGGGCACATGAAACTCCCAAGAGCCAAGGGAGCTACTCCCCATGCCAGCAGCTCTGTTGAATCTCATCTGCTGGCTTCAGGCTCACATCCCAATCCAGATAGATGCCCATGGAAAAATCCACACTGTCTCCCCAAGCTCTACTACTATGGTTTAATACCAACACCAAGGATCTAAAACTCCACAAAGGACCAAAGAGCATGCTGAGCCCTGCCTCTCCAAGTGCCTTCACAGTGCCGGCATTGCCAAAATAGCAGTTCTCATATATGATTCTCCTGGCCACGGAGCATCTGTCCCATCTGGTTGTGGTGAGGACTGACACTGATCCTAACCAATGAGGCCGGCCAGAAGTATGCCAAAGCCCATCCTGTGACTGCACACTGAGGCCCACCCCCACACAAGCAGCCAATCTGTCCTTACAGGCCACATATTTCACTGAAGACTACTACCCAAAGGACCAGACTCTAAGCCAGAAGCAGAGGCAGGGTCCCACCTTCTGTCCTCTCCATGGTGAGCAACACTTCACAGACATGCTCAGGGTAGTCACTTGTGCACTGGACAGCTCGGTGCAGAGCCTTCCGACAGTGCTGCGTGTCACCATGTGCCCTAGAGCAGAGAACAAACAGGCATCATGAAGGCCCACGGTAAAGACCGTGAACAGGCTGCTGCTGGGGCAGAAGAGGCCTGACTGCAGAGGAGACAGCGGCTTTCAGGAGCACGGGGCCTTTCTCTCCTGCCACAAGCTTCTGCAATTGCAAGAGGAGACCTTTTTCTATACACGCTTTCCCTTGGCCAGGAAGATGCACCAGGAAATGCAGCTCAGACAAGAGCCTCTAAGCAGACCTTCTGAGAACACGAGAGGGAACCATGCATCAACTGAATGCACCTTGACCTAGTTCCTCAAAGTCTCTGCAGTCCACCAGAGGGTGGCTCTGTACACCCGAAACCCAGATGGTTTAACTCCATGCTCTGAGTCAGGTTTTATTCTAACATGTTAAAATATGCTAACTACACTGGCATGTATGTATGTATGTGATGTGGAATTCCCCTCTCCGGTTACATGTATGTATGTATGAATAAATAAATGGATGGATATATCAGCATACTCAAAACCTTCAGGGCAGTGGTTCTTTGGCTATGATCCGCACACCCAAGGCCTCAGGAGGTCTTCAGAGTGAGAACACTTTGTACAGGGTACCCAAATGTTCTTTGCCACAGCGCTGGTGATTACATGGATGATAGAAAAGCAATGGAGACTCAGGACAAAGCAAGCACATGCTGTGTGACAACACAGCAAATGCGCAGGAGCTCCTGTGCACACTGAAGGATGGTACTTACTGGAAAATATTGACATCACAAAATTACAACATCAGGCCTAGGGTCTATCAAGCCAAGGGGCAGAAAAACAGATACTGTAAACCAAAGAACTCGCTGGCATGGTTCCAGACACCACATGTCATCTGGCCCTGTTGAGTTTTGCTGTCTTGAAAGCAACCTCATCTGAAAAGCTTTGAGGCTCTCCCTTTCCACCCATCTCTGCAAGGCCAGTTTCTTTTTACCCTGTAATAAAAACTACAGCACAGCAGAGGGGTAACTATAATAAATACATTTGCCAAAACGTCAGGCTCAGGTTTAGATAGACAGCTCAATGGTTTATCAGAGGGCCCAGGTTAGAGTCCCAACTCATAAGGACTTCACTCCAGCTCCCTCTCAGGCCTGAGGGCCCCAAGCACAATTGTAATGCACAGGTGAACATTCAGGCAAACGCCCACCCATTGTTTGTTTTGTTTATTTGAGACAGGGTTTCTCTAAGTAGCTCTGGTTGTCCTGGAACTCTGTAGACCAGGTTGGCCTTGAACTCACAGAGATCCCAGCACTTGGGAGGCAGAGGTAGGCGGATCTCAATGAGTTCGAAGCCAGTCTGGTCTAACAGAGCGAGTTCTGGACAGGAACTCGCGAGTCTTGGACAGGCTCCAAAACAACACAGAGAACCCCATCTGAACACCACCACCACCACCACCAACACCCCGCCACCGCCGCCAAAAAAAGAAAAAGAAAGAAGAAATATTGGGGATTTTCAATATGCACTGAATCAAACAGCTAGTCAAGACAGCTGCCGTACAGCTCATGCCTGACACCTTAGGGTGAATCACCCTGAGCGCTCAAGGCCAATTTGGGCTATGCAGTCTCAATCTTGGAAGGGAAAGAGGAAAGGCAAGGTCATGTTTTTTATCTTCCCAATGGATGCAGTTTACTGAATTCAATAACCTAGAATGGTCAGAGTGCAGACACACTACAAACATATCATGAAGGAGCCCACCCTAAATCATGAACAACACTAAGTCTAGACAGCGGCTGCTAGCTAATCTGATGGTTTTCTTTTCTCTTAGTGCTTTGAGCTTTCCTATACAAAATATAATTTTAAAAAAAAACACCCCCCGCCAAGAGTCCAATTAGGCACATTCAAAATTCAAAACAAAAATGCAAACAGCTTAGAAGGACTTAATGGCTAGAGGAGCGCCCGCCCCCATAAACTCACACACTAAACTCTGGTTCTCAAGGCTTGCAAGGCACAGGCCCTGCTAAAGGAGGCAGGAGAGCACCCACCCCAAAGAGCAGGCACAAGTCAGCTCAGCCAAGAATGGGTACAGATGTCAGCTACCCTGGGTCACTCACCTTTCCAGATTGTAATACTCCAGCCACATGTTGGCATACTTGGCATTTCCTCTGGTCATAATGCTGTCCCAGAGTTCTCGAGCTTTCTGCATGTTATTGCACAGGCGAGCCTAAAATACATTAACAAGATCACCTAGGACGAGTCCAGAACCCTCTCACAGCAATATCCACACAGGTATGCCTAAAACACTCCTTCTTGGCCCATGACTGTGTTCCACAGATCCTGAAGGCCCTAGGCCTCCCTCAAGCAGTAACAAGTCTGAAGCCTGGCTCCCGGCTCTCTGCATAGTGAGCCTCACAGGTCTGCACAAAGCCAAAGCTCGGATAAAACCTGCAGCACAGAGGCCCTGTGTACCCCGAGTAAAGACAAAAGTTCTTGCAGACAGTTCTTGCAAAGGCGTTTCCCTTTTTACATAAACTTGACTACAAATGTTTACTTGGAGTGCATTACAAAGGAAGATACTGATCCAGTAGCAAATGCCAGTTCAACTACTTCAAAGACAAGTAATTTAGACTAGTAACATCACCTAAGTACAGAGCCTGCTTCTCATCCTTCAGAATTCAGTAAGAGTCTTGTACAGAATTACCCAACTCCTGTTACAGAACAAGATTGGAATTGTATAATTCTATCAGCTGGTGAAGAGGGACTTCCTCACTCAGCTCAGTGTTCCTGGCTCAGCTGGACAGCTGGACACAGTTAAAGCCTTAAGAACGCCGAGTCCAGCTCATTCACAGCACCCGCAGAGCGCTGGCCAACAGCAGGCACTCAGTACACCCTCATTAGCAGTGAGGGAAGGACTGAGGAGCTGAACAGGCCAAGAGTCAGCGTCAAGGCACTGCTGCTACACAGCTAGGGCTGGGAATATCTTCACCAGAAAAGCAAACCAAGCACAGCATACCAGGTAAACACGAAACCTTCACCGCCTAGACCACACCCCAATTTCCATGAATGCCAAACGAAGCACTTAACCAAAGCCTTCAAAGGAGGGCATGGCAGGTCTGTGAAGATGCTCACCTCAACTCGAGCCCAACTCTGCATGATCATGCAACTTGGATCTCCGCTCTCATTGAAACCTTCCAGAATGAAATGGGAACAATTAGGAAGGACATAAAGCAAGCGCCCCCGGCTGGAAGAGGTTTGGCAACAAGAACAAACAAGGTAACTGGGCAGACAGCAGGCTGGCAACTTACGCTCCTCAACCTCCTGCTGCAGGTACTCCAGAGCACGTGTGAACATGGCCCGCAGCTCTTCCAGCTCCTTGCTAGAGTCTGTTGGGGAAGGTAGAGGAACTCCATGAAGCCACCACAACCACCAAGACCCACTATGGACACAGGAACCTCAGTCACACTTCCTTTCACAATAATAAACAACTGGAAGGAGTGGTGGCAGAGAGAAACACAGGCATGCCCAGGAGGGACAGGCAGGTAGCACAGGGGCTGTGTGAAACAGTCTGGCAAAGTGTAGGTTTTTTCTAGCTGACCTCTGGTTTGGAGCAGGGATCCAGTGAACAGATCTAAAAGAACATGGTAGTCTTACTGGAAAAAAGATTTGGGGTTGTGGTGGTCATTTTCATCTCCACGGAACCTACAATCAGAGGGAAATGGACCCCTGGGCCTGTCTGTGATGGATGAGCTCAGTGGCATCTGGTGAGGTGGGAAGGCCCTCCCAAGCTGGGTGGTGCCGTCCCTACTGGGTCCTGGGCTATGTGCTCTCCCCTCTTCTCACTGTGGATGTCCTGTGGTGGCTGCTCTAAGTTCCTCAGCCCTGAGTCCCCAACGTGCTGGCCTGTGCCTTCTCCCCTGGGCACTTGTCAGGGCATTCACTACAGCAACAGAAAGAAACGTAGCAGGGCTCACAAAGGCCAGACCCAAAAAGTGAGAGGCTACCACAGCTGCCAGGCACCAGAGCAAACACAAGGACTGTCAGCTTTTCATTCCACACTGGACTTAAGGTGGAAAAAAATGTTACTAATGGCAGGTCTCAATGTGCTTGAAGAACAGGAATGTAACTCCTCCAAAGATGTGTTAAGAAAAAGTACAGAGCCAGGCAGTGGTGACACACACCTTTAATCCCAGCACTCGAAAGGCAGAGGCATGGATCTCTGTAAATTTGAAGCCAGACTGGTCTACAAGAGCTAGTTCCTGAACAGGTTTCAAAATTATAGAAAAACAACTCCCCACCCCCCGCCAAAAAAGTAATATGGCACAATGATAATGTGCTTGCAAAAAAAAAAAGTAAAAAGCCAGTGAAGCCAAGCACTGGTAGGTAGCACATGCTTTTAATCCCAGCACTCAGGAGGCAGAGACAGGCGAAGCTCTGTGAGTTCGAGGTCAGCCTACAGAGTGAGTTCCAGGACAGCCAGGGCTACACAGAGAAACCCTGTCTCAAAAACAAACTAACAAACAAAGAGTTATAAAAGCCACTGAGGTGACACATGCCACTGCTGGGGAGGTAGGACAAGTGGGTCTCTTGTGATCACGGCCACACCAGCAAAACTTAAGCTCAGGGGGCTGGAGAGATGGCTCAGTGGTTAAGAGCACTGTCTGCTCTTCCAAAGGTCCAGAGTTCAATTCCCAGCAACCACATGGTAGCTCACAACTATCTGTAATGATGTCTGGTGCCCTCTTATGGCCTGTAGCCATACAAGCAGACAGAATACTGTATACATAATTAATAAATAAATAAATAAGTATTTTTTTTAAAAAAAAAACTTAAGCTTAGGGTCAACCATGAGATCCTAGAATCAGTGGATCCTAAAAAACAGAACCCAAGGCTCATCTGTGGCCACGCACGCACACACACACGAGAGAGGTGGGGGGACATGATGACCAAATCCAGTTCTGAGGAGGCCCACACTCTACCTTGTCTGAAGTCAACCCTTCTCCTCAGGTAGTCTAGGTACACTTGCCAAATCTCCACATAGTCAGTGGCCTGGATAAAGCCGGCACTCAGAGCATTCTCAAAGGTTGCTGCAATGGAGAAAACCACAGCATTCACTAGACAGTTCAAAAAGAAATAAAGCCATCAGAACTCATAAATGTGTGATTCATGCATTTATAAATGAATGTCTATCCCAGCACCACATACAAGGAAAAGTACAGACGCAGTGTTTGCGGCGCTCCCCTCCAGCACCGTTCTCTAGGAAGGTAAAGACACAGTGTTTGCGGGGGTCCCCTCCAGCACTGTGCTCTAGAAGGGACTCCACCAAAGTGAGAGTCCGGGTCGGACAAGACAGACCATGACTTCTAAGAAATTCACTGAGTATTAGAGGCTAAAGCGCCAAGACGCCACACAGCATCTGCCACTACAAGACAAGCCCTGGGGCGCTGGCTGAAGACTGCCACAGCTCTCTTGCTCATTTGGGATAAAAGACTAGAGCTTCCAGGCACGGTGGTTCATGCCTGTCATCCCAGCAAGCTTAGGCTCCACAGCGAGCTGCAGAAAAGAAACTTCCAAAAAGGTAGCTTAGAATTTCTCCTGCACAAATGTTCATACCAGAAATCATTTGATGGTCCACTCCATGTCTCTCCATGGCCAAGAGGTACCGACTCCACAGGGCAACTGTCCACGGGCAGTTCCTCACAGCACGGCTGTGTACAGATAAAACCAAATCCTTTACTTTCAGCTGCCGATCCTGTGACAAAGAATCCCAGGGTGAGAGGACAGAATTGTAAGACTTCCTCAGTAATGGCGACTCATGGAAACTCCCCCCACAGGCTAATGGCCCAAAACTCAGTACCAGGTGCTGGCACTATTTTGGGAGGTTGTGAAACTTGGGGGAGGCAGGCCCTAGCTGAGCAAGTGGGTCAGTGAGAGAGGCGAGAGCCTTGATGGTCAGAGCCCCACACCATCACCACAGCCCCATGCCATCACCGCAGCCCCACGCCATCACCGCAGCCCCACGCCATCACCGCAGCCCCACGCCATCATCACCACAGCCCCACACCATCA